GTGGTTTTACAGCTCTGCACAAATCGAGAGGCCAGTAAACATCTGTGTGTGCCCACGGGGTTTACTGGCAGCTGGAAAGTCACCCCTCCCTTGGGAGCTCACACCTCCCGTGGGGCTCCAACCCCCCCCAGTGACACAGCCCTGCCTGCAGAGAGGGGCCAAAGCAGCCCTGGGCACTTGGGGGGCTGAAGGGGGGCTGAGGGCCATCGGTCTCCATCCCTGGAGGGGTTTAACAGACGTGTGGATGTGGCATTTGGGGACGTGGGTCAGTGGTGGGTTTGGCAGTGCCGGGGGAACAGTTGGACTCGATGGTCTCAGAGGGCTTTTCCAGCCTTAATGATTCCGTGAAGCCATAATTAGGGAAGTCCTCCAGCCTGGCAATGGCCCTGGCACAAGCTTAAAGGTTGTCTCTGCTCTGAGCCCCCTCAGTGAGGAGGGGAAGGTTGTTCTCAGCCACCCCTGAAGCACCCCTGGGGTGCAGTGACCACCCTGTGCTCCCCTGGCTGCCTGCACCCATCCCACCAAACCTCCAGAGAGCTGCACTCCAGGAGCACCAAGGAAAATGAAAACAATCAACTTGTGTCTTCCTTATTTTCCTTTTTCCTCTGCTACGATGAGCAGACAAGTCCCAGTGGGTTCATTTAAAAACTGGGTTTGGTTTTCAAAGAATCCCAAAATGGTTTGGGTTGGAAAGGACCTTAAAGCCCATCCAGTCCCACCCTTGCCATGGGCAGGGACACCTCCCACTAGCCCAGGTTGCTCCAAGCCCTGTCCAACCTGGCCTTGGACACTTCCAGGGATTCAGGGGCAGCCACAGCTTCTCTGGGCAACCTGTGCCAGGGCCTCCCCACCCTCACAGGGAAGGATTTCTTCCTAAAGTCTTATCTAAATTTACTCTCTTATAGTTGCCATCCCAGCAGAGCTCTGAATTTTCAGCCTGGTCCTCCTTGCTCCTGCTGGGGGACTCACCAACGAGGTGGGCAGAGGATGCAGCTCCCGCAGAGAGACTTTGCCTGGTGCTCCCAGACATCTGGGCTTTGAGGGATGCTGAGGGGTGAGGGTCAGGCATATCCCAGCCCCCAGAACCAGCAGTCAGGGCAAGCCAGAAGCACAGCCCCACAGCCAGTCCCTAAAGCTCAAAAATTCCTAAAATTCGAGTTTTCTTTGTTTTGTCCTTTCATGCCAAGGATTTGGAGCAAGGAGGCTTTTTTTATTTCACTTTCATTTGCTTTGAAATGCTGTACACTTCATCCTTTTTGATGTGCTTTGCTTCCAAGAAAAGGCCAGGAGAGGTCTGAGGCATCAGCCACCAGAAAGAACTGTGTTCCCTGGGGGGTGTTTTTTCCAGACTGGGAAAAGTCTTTCCGGGGGAGGACGGAACCTCTGACAAGATACACATTTCTTATCAGCTCTGAGCAACTTCCTGCCCTGACATGACTTCAGGGTTTCCTCTGGAATGCAGCCAGAGGTGACCAGCACTGCTCATGCCACCAGCCAAGGTGGCCCTGCTCTCCCCCTGCCCCTCCACACTGGAGACACAATCCCCAGTCACTCCCACAGGCACAGGGTCCCACTGGAGCCCTTTCTGGGACATGACATCATCTGAAAAACCCCAACATTTCTCCACCTATGTCAAGAATGGTGGGGGTGAAATTCCTGGGTGCTGGTACAAAGCCACTGGTGCTGGAGCTGGGCAGGAGGGAGGCAGCTGCAGGAAATGATGGGTCTTGTCTTAGAGGCAGTTTCTGAACCCAGGACCTTTTTAATTACTTCCTTTTCTGAGCTAATCCCAATTCCTCCTCATTAAACCCTGCTAGAAATAGCACCTTACATCAGCCAGTCTCACCAGTTTTTTCCAGGTTCCCCTTTTCATTCAAGATGGAGAATTTCCCCATTTCTGCTGTCACTGAGTCTATTTTGGGCATTTGCTTTCCTTAGCACTTTCTCCTGGGATTTTTTGAAGGGACTTGGAGAAAACCTCTTTGTGTAAATCAGAGCAGCATCAGCCAGACTCCTTCAAGTCCCACTGACTCCAAACAGTGCCTGCTGAGTCAGGAATCCTGAAACCACTGGAGCCAAGATGGGAAAACTTCCCTCTCATACCACAGTTTTGCCCTGCAATGAACTTAATCCCCCTGGAGATGTTCCAGCCCACTTTGCCCGCTCCTCCATGGCCATCTTCATGTCTCAAGGGTAGGATGGTTCTTCATCCAAAACACACCCAACCTCTCTTCCTAAAAAAGGGGAAGAGCTGGAAGAGGTGACTCTGTCATTTCATCATGACTGGAATGTGGGGAGTGGGTAAGGAAACATTTTTTAGGAATGTGTTGTGACATCCCAGGGCATCACCGACATGACTGTAACCTCCCACCTTTATCCAGCTGGTAGAGCGAGGGCTTTGCTCAGATTTCTAAGGAAAAATTAGATTCCTCGAGAACCTGGCTCTGGGATTATTTTTTGCTTTCAGCAGTAGTAAAGTTTCAGCCCTTCCCAGACCCCTGTAAAACAAATTGTCTAAACTAAACTGACTCACCGAATTAAGGAATTTTTTTTGTTTTTATTAACTAAAAAAATGATCCCTGAGAGTCTGAAATAGTTTGGCATCTTCTTGGTAGCAAAGGGATGAAGGCAGGGAGGTGTCCAGCTGCCTGAGAGGGGAAATCTTTCACTGGAAACATTTGAATAATCGCTGCAGATTTCCAATTAATTCCTCTGTTTTCACGAGACTCATCTTTTATCAGACGGGTCTCGTCTTCATTTCCTCCCCATAAATGGAGTTCTGGGCAGGAGCAGATGGCTGGAGGAGGTGGATCTGGAGACATGACCCACGAATTCTTGAAGGCACAATCACGGGGAACAGCTCAGAGCTCTTACGTACTTCCACAACTGTATTCCCTGGGCAGCCAGCCGGGATCCGAGGGAGCTGGAGCTCACTCACAGACGGCTCCTAGTCCAGCTGGAACAGTCGGAACGCCGAGTTCCCATCTCCTGCCTGGCCAGGAGCCCTCCTCATCCTCCTGGGATAGCTGGGAACAGGCAACATGACGAGTGGAGTGAGGGAATGGGATCTGGATGGATGAGTGAACCTGTGAGGTGCCTGTGCAGAGGGAAGGATGGAGAGGGGGCCGTGGTGTGTCCAGGAAGGTGATGCCCAACTTGGCAAGAGCCGCATTTGCTCCATGGGATCAATCTGCCTGGGTGAGGGGCATCACCACGGCTCCCACCAGGAACCTCCCTGAGGGTGGGACATCCCTGGGACTTCTCCTGTGCAAGTCCAAGGTGGCCTTGTCCTCCAGACCCCTCTCTGGTTGCATGGAGCAGAGTAGTTATCCTGCCTAGAGCACAGCAGTTATCCTGCCTGGAGCAGAGAATTATCCTGCCTGGAGCACAGCAGTTATCCTGCCTGGAGTAGAGAATTATCCTGCCTGGAGCACAGCAGTTATCCCTCATGGAGCCAACCAGCCATGGCTGCTGGAGGGCTGTGCCCACCATGCAGTGTTGGAGGATATTTGGAAAACACCGGGTTATTTCCAGAAGGTTCCTGGGGCAGGGGCTGGAGCCTTTAATAGAAAGAGGATGAGTCAGTGCCCAGCACTGTGGGGAGGGTGCAGAGGTGCTGCTGGTGAGGTTGGGTTGTTCCACTTGACGTTATAATCCTTCCACTGGAAGCATCCCCCAAGACATCACCACTCCATGATGCCTTGAAAATAAAAAGGAGTCACATCCCAGGAACGCCTGCTTCTCTCTGGAGAACACATATCCTTCTAGGAACATCTCATTACAGCTGGAGAGCCCCCAGCTCTTCCCAGAGCATTCATCACCTCCCTGCCAGGCCTTCCCTCTCCTCCTCAGGGACAGAGGGGAATTTGTTAGACCTCCATGGCACTCTGTGCAGGCTGGTGGCTTCTTCCCAGTGAACCATCCCTGTCTCAGCCCAGGGAGAGCTGTGAGCTCTTACCCTCTCCCATATGATGTGCTACTTCCCCTTGTCATGACAATTTTCTGCTGAGACAGGATACTCTTTTCTTCCCAAAATCCCAGTTTCTACTCATGGCCTCACCCCAGTTACTCTGCTCCTGATCTCCTGATCTTCAGAAGCAGTGTCTCCTTCCTCACCCTGCTGCTGGAGCTCCTTCTGCCTCATCCTCAGGGTCACAAAGTCTCCAAACATCTTATGGCTCTCTGCAGCCCCAAGGCTAAGAATGAAAGGCCTCACCTACCAGTAGCCCTTGAAATTTAACTGTCTAGTCCAAATTGGTCATTCAGGGTCTCTTTATAGGACCTGGAGTGCAACGGGCACTTCCAGGAGATAACACCCCATCTCAGCTCTCTCCCTTCCCTTAAATTTGAGGAAATTTGAGTGCTTCAACTCTGGGATTCCCGTCTCATGCTCACCACTACCTGTGTTGGTGCCTGCAGTGCTGTCACAGCTGCAGGACATGCCCTGAGTCACCTCCAGCTCTGTGGAACACGTACAGGGCTCTGGTGACAGCTCCCATCTCCTGCTCCCGGGGCGGTGTGTGAGGGAAGCAGTCCATGGTAAAGGACCTTTTCCAGTCCCACAGCCCCTTTTTCCCCTAACCAGCCTCATCCCATTGATGCCCTTCTGCCCAGCTCTGTCCTTTGGGCTACTCAGGCAGGTTGGGCAACAGGGGACTTGACAAATGCAGGAACCTCCACAGAGGAACTTCTTGCTAAGGGACAGGCATGAAAGAAGCAGAAATAGCCACAGTCACTGTTTCATATCCTGTGTCACTGGGGAGGCACTGAATCAAGGGGGGAGCTTCACTCTTCCGGGGCTGGGGCTGCTCTGTTCCATCACGGGACTGCACCACGAGTGGACTCTCCTCTGGGGGAAATTCCATCATGCCTACGTAAGGCTCCACATGGACCTCTCGCCCCATAAATTGAGGGGCTGGTGACCGTCTCAGCATCAGCCAGAAAAGAGGCTTTCAAGCTCCCCTTGCCTGCTGAGCTCCAGCCACCACTTCTCTGCTGACATGAAGGTCTCCGTGGTTGCCCTCGCCGTCCTGGTTGCTGCCTTCTGCTATCAGAGCTCTGCTGCACCATGTAAGTCCAGGGGCTCCCCATCCTCCCTCCATGGGGACAGGAGAGATGCCCCTGCTGGGACAGAGTCCCTTCTGCCAGCACTTCCACCCTGGGTCCCTCCCCATGTTGTCAGACCATCCTCAGGAATGTGTTCCAGGGTCATGGGGGCTCTCCTGCCCCGGGAAAGGCACAGCTCAAAGACCATTAGGGTAAAACCTAAACCCTGTTTTACCCTTTTTGGGGTAAAAGAGGGTTAAAACCACAACCACACCCCCACACAGTGCTGCAGAGGTCAGTGGTGCTGTGCAGGGCACCCTGAGGAGGGCTGAGGGTGGCCAGGTTTGGGCTGGGAGATGTTGCCTGGTGACACAGGCTCTGTCAGTGCCAGCTCAGGGTGAAGCCAACAGGGAAAAAACTGAAGGAAGAATTAAAAAGACCTCTCCTTTTCCCTTCTTCTTCTTCCACGTCATCCCTACTCCCCAGAGCCAGGGATGTGGGATCCCAGCTCCCTGGCCCTGCTCCCCATCCCTTGCCCCTGCTGATGATTGTCTTTGCCCTCCACAGTTGGCTCCGACCCCCCGACCTCCTGCTGCTTCTCCTACTTCTCCCGGCAGCTGCCCCGGAGCTTCGTGGTGGATTATTATGAGACCAACAGCCAGTGCCCCCAGCCAGGCGTTGTGTAAGTCCCCTCCTCAGGGCAGGGGGGGATTTGGGATGAGGATCCAGGGAGGGAAACAGCCCTTTTCCAAAGACAGGGGATGGAGGCTGGGGGAGACAAGAAGTACAAGGTGATGCTCTGTGGGTTTAGAGCACAGAAGTCTCACCCTGGTCCTGCTCTACCACTTTGAAGACTTAACTGGTGTGGATGGGCACAGTATTCTCATCCCACCCTTGGGAGAGGCTGGAATTGGGCAGGGCTCTTGTTCTGTCCCTGGAATCCCCTGCTGGGATGAAAACCAAAAGAGTAAATTTACATAAGACATTAGGAAGAAACTCTTCCCTGTGAGGGTGGGGAGGCCCTGGCACAGGTTGCCCAGAGAAGCTGTGGCTGCCCCATCCCTGGAAGTGTCCAAGGCCAGGGCCTTGAACCTGGGCTAGTGGAAGGTGTTCCTGTCCAAGTCAGGGAGTGGAATGAGATGATCTTTAAGGTCCCTTCCAGCCCAGCCCATTCCGTGATCCTGTGATTCCCCATTCATTCTCCCACCAAAAACTGACCTCTCTGCACCCCACAGGTTTATCACCAAGAAGGGCCGGCAAGTCTGTGCCAACCCCGAGCAGGAGTGGGTCCAGCAGTACATGAACGACCTGGAGCTGAACTGAGACCCTGCCCAGATCCTGCTCCGTGTCCCGGCTCCCGGGATGGGCGAGCACGACCCAGCTGTGGGTGCATCAGAAATGCTTCAGTGCCCTTTAGAGCTACCTGAGAAACTGAAAACGTTCCAGAATCCAACTTAATGGTTTCCTATTTAATTTTTTATAGGGGAGGGATCAGGTGCAATAACTCCAAGCTAAACAAGAATTTTATTTAATAGATTTATTTTTTTAATGCAGACTCGGGTTGTAGGTTCTGTATTTAATTAATTGTACTTTTGGCATAATATTCAATCCAGATTTCAATAAATAAATATTTTTGTAAGAACTCTCTGTCTTTGCCTCTATTACAACCCTTTGGGATGACAATAGCTGACATTATCATAGTGGCAACATGTTCTTTATTTCCTTTTCCACACTGTCAAAACTCCCACAAGCTTTCCCTGTCTGAACGTCCTGTTTTGCAAAATAAGACAAGAAAAACCATGAAGGAGGAGGTGTGAGAAAGGCTCAGATTACAGTCAGGTAGCTTGGCTCACACTTTTTAGAAAGCATTTAATCACCACTCATTATGACAACCGGGAGCTCGTTAAATTCCATCCCTGGCCCCATTATAATCAATTAAAATATTACCTTTAGGGCCTGGAATTTAACACATTGGCTGGTTTAGGGAAAGCTTTCTGAGAGCTGCAGCTAAAATGGATCAGCTATTCCCAGAGCTGAGGGTGGAAAAAATACGTTTCCCTGCGAGACTTTCAGAACTATTTCATTTAGCTCTCATTTACCTGGGACATGAGGCTTGGCAGATATTCCCTCTCAGGAGAAAAGGTGTTTTTTCTCTGTGCCCCCAAAACCTGCCCATCCCTGGAGATTCCTCTCCAGAGATCACCCTGCTGGACCCCAGCCCAGGGCAGGACCTGCCCCTGCAAGGAGACATCTCCACTGGTCCCCCCTGGAGCTGAAGGAGATGGAGCCCACATCCCTGATGGCAATTCCAACATCCCTGATGGCATTTCCAACATCCCTGATGGCATTTTCCACATCCCTGATGGCAATTCCAACATCCCTGATGGCATTTCCCACATCCCTGATGGCATTTCCCTCCCCACTGCGGGTATTCGGGTTGCTCTGGTCAGCTCTGGGCAGGCTCTGTTGGATGAACAAGGAGGATTTGGGTTTCTCCCGAGGGAGAAAAGGTTCAGCTCACCCCACAGCATTTCCAGACTGAACGTGGGAGGACAAACACGACCATCAGGGTGACACAGGGGGGCAGAGCGGGAGGGGAGCTCCTGGGCAGGGGTGAAGAGGAGCAGACACAGAGGTTGGGTGGGAGATGAGCAGCCAGAGGAGCCCCGGGTGGGGCTGGGAGGGATCAGGGGGACGTGGGTGTGTCTGGGGGAGGAAGGAGAACATCTTGTCACTTCAGGAACTGCAGCCCCCGGCTCCCCAGCCCACGGGGCAGCGTGAATGCCATCAGTCATCCCACCACTGCATCCACTCAAAATAGCACCCAGGGAGGAGGAGAGGGAGGTGGAGAGCAGGAGCAGAGCCTCCTTCCTCCTGAGGGGAGGGAGCCCCTGGCTGGGGGGTGGATTTCACCCTGGGGACAAAGAGCTGCATGTGGAGGTGGCGGCTTTGGTCCAAGCCTGGACTCCCCAGGCCCTGCACGCCCCAGGACCAGCTCCAGGAGCAGGGATCATCATGGCCATGCTGGAGGTGAAAACACTTGGGCCATTGGGTGCCAACCAGCAGAGTGCTGGAGCCCAGAGACGTGCCCCTGAGGGCTGAGACTGGCACAGACCCCAGTGCCCAGAGCTGCCCTCACTCCAGGGAACAGCAGGAGCAGGGGACAGGAGGGGGAAGACCTGCAATGGGATCATCCCAAAATCACTTGAGCCTCCACAGTGCCTCTTGGATACAAGCCCCATCTGCCCCTGTGGGGGCAGTCCCACAGCCTTGGGGTTTCTTGTTGAAGGACACAGGGTGTGGGGTCACCCCGGGAGCATCACCCAGCCTGGGCACTGTTGGAGCCTGTGGAGAACAACCCCCTGTGCAATGTCCTCAACCACTCGGGTCACACTCCAGCCTCCCACAGCAGCCACGCTGCGGGTACCTCAGCTCACTCCTCACCACTATTCTGGGAGCCTGAGGGAGCCCTGAATTGCTCATGTTTGCCTTGATCTCACACCCACCCACGTGTGACAGCTCAGAGGAGCTGCAGAGTGCCGGAGAGGGACCCAAAGTGCTGTAAATCCACCCCCCCCTTGGGCACTGAGGTGTGAACGGAGCCCACACGAGAGAGGCAAAGGCAGGAGGAGGGTGTGTGTGGGGAGAGCATCCCTGGGCATCTCCAGAGCCCCCACGCTCTGCAGAGGAGGAGCAGTGAGGATGGTGGCCCAGAGCAGGCAGGAGCTGCAGTACCCATGTCACCATCAGCTCAAATCCACACCCAGGGATCCCCCTGCCCGGAGCAGGGGCTGTATTTGCTGTTGATGCAGCTTTTTGAGGCTGATTTTGCTGCTGGAGCTGAGGAATGCAAGGAAACCCTCACACTGTGCAGCCCTTGGGCTGTGGAATCATAAAGAATCATGAAGAAGCTTGAAGATCATGTCATTACACCCCTTGGGCAGGGACACTGTCCCACTAGCCCAGGTTGCTCTAAGCCCCGTCCAACCTGGCCTTGGACACTCCCAGGGATGGGGCAGCCACAGCTTCTCTGGGCAACCTGTGCCAGGGCCTCCCCACCCTCACAGGGAGGAAATTTTTCCCTGGGAAGCTCATGGCTATTTGTGGTGCTCATGCCTCCCAGAAACAGCCCTGTGAGGTGCTCAGGCAGGGGAATACAAGAAAGCAGAGGGCACTGAGGCTGAGGCAGCAGATGAAGAGAAAGAGGGGCTGGGACCCCAGAGGAGGGTGGCTTTCGAGGGGGTTTCCTCTGGATTCAGATCAAAACAAGAACAATGCTGTCAAGGGTTTCAGAATTTGTAAACTACTAAGAGAGGGACTCATCCTGAAACCAGGGTGTGGTATTTACTGAATTTAAGTCATTAATTTACTGAAATTAAGTCCTTACTGTGATAAGAATAGCATCATTGTTGTAACATCCCTGCACATCTCTATGTGAGTTGTTTACGTCACTCTGGTGTGTCCACAGGCATTTTGAGGCACAACAAAAGCCAGAGGAGTTGGAGGTTGGAGTCTGGCACCCCACAGGAGGAGGAGCTGGACTGTGCTGATGGAGATGTGGACTGATGGCAGTCATGGTTCGTGGTCTGATGGCTTTTCCATCTCCGCTTTTTCAGAGAGGAATGGGACACCCTGAAGGCAAAATGCCCGTGCACTCAGGAGTGCCAGCTCTGTGCCTTATCCCAGGGACCAGGTCCTGGTTTGCCCCAGGGAGGGGAGGCTCATCCCCCACCCAGACCAGCTCTTCCCAGAGACACCACAGTCAGGGAGTGTGTCACTTCTGAGGGGCCAGAATTCAAAAATGTGATGTAAAAAGGGATGGGTTGGCAGGCTGCATACAAAAGCAGTGTTTTCCTAAAGCAGGGAGGTATCCCAGACTTCCAGGGCTGAGGAAGACATGGAAGTATCATGGCAGAAATGGTGCCTGGCTGTCACCTTCCCTGTGACAGCCAGGAGAAGGCAGAAGTGGCCACAAAGACCCAAAAGGCCATTTCTGCTGAGTGCTTAGAAAGAAGCAGACAATGACTCACAACCCCCTGAGGCGACAAAACATTTTTTGCTGGAAGAGAAAGGAAAATGTAACTTGTTGAGAAAGCACATTTCTAAAGCTGCAAGGCTGTAAATTGTGCTGAGTCATAACAGGGGACACTGTCAGTGCGTCTGGGTAACAAAACTGAGCCTAAAAATGTGACCTTAATCTACTGATTGCTCAAAAAACAGCAACACCCAACCCGTGGACACTCTGCCAGATGTGGTATCCCAAGGGATTTCTTCCTTCAGCCAAGCCAGACACCTTGAGCAGAGCAGTCCTTGGCAGTGCTGGGACAATGGACTCCATGACACCAGAGGTCTTTTCCAAGCTAAATGATTCCATGATCCTGTGCAGCCATCCCCCTCCTGGCTGAGGCTGAGCAGACTTGGGCCTTGCAGGGTCTGTGTGGAGGCCAGAGCCAGGCAATCAGTGCAGTTCCACTGAGGAGAACAGGGACAAGCTCCACTTGCCATGACTTAACCAGAAATCCTGCTTGCAAACCACACTTGGACAGCCAGAGAGCTCCCAAAACCAGACCCCAGTGCTCCTGGCTTCTCTCCAGCTGCCCATTGCCAACCAGTCTGGGCATCAAACTGGTATCTGCCCTGAGCAGTTCCTTAGTTGCAGGTGATGCAGAGAGTCCACCAGCTGGAAAACTTGGGAGCCTGCTCAGAGCTCTCTGATGCCTTTGACCTCCACTGTCTTTCCCGGCAAGGCAGATTCATGATTTCTAGAAACGCTGTGGATGCCGCATCAGGATGAGTTCACATCCTTCCTTCTCATTCATTTTTTCTCTCTCTCTGCAAGATCTCCCAGCTGTTGCACTTCCTCCTGCTCTTTTGGAAGCACTTCACCACCACCACCCCCCCCCGGCACTGCAGCAAGTGTCACTCGTCTGTCCCTCCCCAGGGTCGGGTTGCTTTTGCTCTCTGGACACTTTCCATCCTGCCACCTCGCCCCACCCCTGGCCCAGTGACATTTGCCCTGGTTTCTTCCCTGCACAGCAGGTTTTCCTGGCTGTCCTCACTACTCCCCCCTTCCAAATGCCTCTGCTTCCAGCCCTCAAAGTTCATGTCCCTTCTTGCCTCAGATTCCATAAACTCCCTCTCCATGGAGCTGACACAAAATCATAATCTCCCTGTCAGATTGCCGTGGTGTCAATGCACTGCAGATCCCACTGAGATCCAGCACCCTCCTCCTTCCTGGGACGTGGCAAAGTTGGGACTGGGCTCATCTCTCTGCCCTGTGGCTTCCAAAAGACATACCCTGTAACTGAAGGCAGGAGGGTGGA